AGGCCGATGTGGAGAGGGATGTGCTCCTTCCCTGACTCCAGCTCTGAGCCTGTGGGTGACAGGGCTGTGAATATGTTCCCTCTGCTCTCCTGGGACAAAACCCTCAGGGCTCCTCATGGCGCAGCACATAAACAAAGAAAAGAGAAAAAAAAAGGGATAGAATAGAATTCTGAAATTCATTGTGCTTCAGGGATCTCAAGTCCATCACGTGGATGAGTCACCACATCACATGGACACGTGGCATCAGCAGTGACCGGCTGGTCAGAGGGTCCCCAAGTGTCACAGAAAGCACCTCCAGCTCTGGAGCTGCTCATGTCCCTCTGTGGACACCAGGCAGCCCAGTTTTCCCTCAAGGATGGGATTATCCACGGTGAGGTACCTGCAGCCCAGATGTCCACACCTGGGCTGGCAGCTCTGGGCACTTCCAGACAGTGATTAATTGTCCCAGAGTGAACTAATTTGCATTAATCACCCCATCTGGGGGCTCCATCCACACCTTGACCCACAAACTCTATTTAAGCTCAGCCCAAGGAGGTTGTTCCCTCTGCAGAAGTCCTGGTTGCCAGTTTAACAACGTGCGCACATCTTCCACTAATCTGCATCTTGTCTTGATCACAGATCCAGCCCTGACCAGGACTGAGTTGGTTTTTGGATGTTTCAGCCTGCTGGACCTCATAAAGGTAAAAAACATTAATTTATCTATGTGAACTTTATCCACTGTGAATGATATGTAGCATAACAGCTTGATAGACTGGATTAAAATTAAAATAAATACCCGATTTTTAAAAAAATAGAATTTAGGTCAACCTTGGACCTGCCTCATTGTCACCAGCTGTCTTGGTGGTTTGGAGTCTTGGCTCAGAGAATATCAGGAGACTTGGAATAAATCTGATTCTGATTTTTGAAGCAAGCTGGGAGGTGGAAAAATAAGGTTTCTGGGGAAGTCAGTGGTGATTTGGTGCAATACAGTCCTGGAAAAAGATAAAATAGATCTGATTTGGGTCAATGCCAAAGAAATGGAGCAGAAATACTCATGAAAGCAAAAATTGCCATTTTTCTTGGAAAAATGCACAAAGGCAGAGGAAGGATTAAGTGATAAACAGTTCAAAGTTTTATCTTTGATAATTATTTAACTTATTTTACAAGCTGTTTTGCCTTCTTGATCATTCTTTTCTAAGTATCAAAAGTTTCTCATGGAAATAAGTGGATTTCCTGGTTTTATTCATTATTTTGAGAAAAGAGGGAGTATTTGAAGTTGTGCCTGGGGAATAAAGCAGGAACTAATGGGAAATTTCAGTGGTGAAATTTTGGTATGGAAACTCACCAAATTCCAACACTGATGTTAAAATGTTGTTGTTTGCAGAGCCAACTGAAACATCAGCACGAGCTGGGTCATCTTTAGGGCCCTTTCCAACCCAAACCATTCCAGGATTCTGTGACCCTGTGTGGGTCTCCTTTGGACATGGCACATCCTCTTCCAGCCTACCTGGGGTCTCTTGATCCCTCTAATTCCACCTAAGCTATCATGGGATGTGTTATTGATAACTGATCAATCCCATCTCTGGATCCAAACTGTACTTTGTGGGCAGCTCAGATATTCCTGGGAATACCTGGAGCAGAATGAGAATGTTTGATGGACTCTGGATCATGTTCTGACGGGTGGGTCCTGTACAGAGGTCCCAGTGCTAGGCCAGGAGCAGCCTGGAAGCATTTTCGGCCCATTCCTTACCTGGAGGCCTGGATCAGCCCTCACCCCCTGTAATCCCAGCTGGCTGCTCCAGGGATCCATCCAGGACAGCCTGAGCTGTTTGCAATGGAGCAAACCCACCCCTGACCCTGAAGTAAAGTTATGTTCACTATAAAAATTAAATTATATTTCTATTAAAGGATGTTTTGTTGATGAACAGGGTTCCTCAATGAACCTTGTGATCCTGATGATCCTCTGGCGAGGTAAGAACTGGATTTTTATCTTTAATCCTTTTATTCTGATTTGTTGTGTTATCAGGGACAGGGAATTCTGTCTGGCTCTTTTTTTCCCTCCATCATGCTGGGACTCTTATTCATACCTTGGTTTCAGCTGGAAATGAAATGGGATTCATGGAGGCTTGTGAGGGAGAAAAAGATCCAGTAACATGTGGGTGTTGGTGCACACATTTAACCCAATAATATTTTGCATGTTATGTAAAAATATATAGGTTAATGTACATTTTATATTGAATTTTAATATATATTTATGATTTTGGATCAGAAAGGACAGACATCTAGGAGATCTCTGACCCTAGGATGGCAAGTTATCCATTTATATCCGTATGTATTTATGGATATGGGGCTTGGAGCACCCTGGGCTAGTGGAAGGTGGCCCTGCCCATGGCAGTGGGGTGGAACTGGATGATCCTTCAGATCCCTCCCATCCCAAACCATTCCAGGATTGTGTGAGAGGTGTCAGGATCCCCTGTATAAAGTTTCTGTGGGTTTAACACATGACACATTCCAGACTTCCGTGATTTCTGGGCTGGATTAGGGAGGCAGCTCCCATGAAAAGTCCTTTCTAGGAAAGATGGAAGGATAACATTCTAAATGGATTATTTTGCAGTTTTATCACAGTTTGGAGATAATGAGATATCACCTATAAGCCAAGTCAATAAATTAATTAATAAATAACTTCATATTTGAAAACTGGGTAAATTTCCAGGTTCAATTGAACCAGTCACTTTGCCCTGTCCTTTTTCCACTCTCAATTTCTGCCTTTCAAAGCCTTCAAACAAAGCTCTAATTAGTTTTCCTCTTTATTCCCCTGGTGGTTTGCCAAAAACAAAGTCAGGAATATTATCAGTGGAGTTCGTATCCAGAGATTTGCCCTTTGGCAGTGGAGAGATGGGACTGAAAAATAACAAAGCAAAGCAAGAAAAAACCTGAAAACCTGAAATTAAAAGATGAAGGGTGATAATTATTTAAAAAGTCAAATTTTTAGGCAAGAAATAACTCCGGATCAAAATTGCAGCTCCCTCATTTCTCTACATTCTGGATGAAAACTTGGTGATGGCAAGGATGACAAATCAACCTGGTTTTTGTTGTCAAAAAAACCCTTTCATTGTAAAACGTTGCATTTCATCTACTTCCAAATTAATTTAATTCCTGTTTTTACATTAACAACTTATTTTTTCTCCTTTGGTGCACTGTGGTACTCCGTTGTCAATCCCAAGGGACATTAAAGAGCCACAAAAATCCTTTTAAGGTATGAAGTAGAGAACTGGAAGGGGAAAAAGCTTAAAAAATATCCATCAGTATTTCCTGTATGTCACCACCATCTATTGGACATTGCTGGAAACATGATCTCCTTTTTATTTTACCTAAAACCTCCTTTTTTTTCTGTAAGCCTTGGGTAGAAAAGTGCCTTGTTCTTGCTCAGGAAACTGAGAAGTAGGCAATAAATAAAACAATGGCATTGTGTGCCTGATCACACCTGGATATTTTATTTTTCAAGTGTCAGCTCCAGAGCCTGTTGAAAATATTGGGTGTTTGAAGTTCTCATTTGGAAACGATGCTTTAAACTGCATTTTATTTTTGTCTTAGGACAATTTTCAGCTGATGCTTCAGGTTGTCTGAATCCTTCAGGTGGAGTTAGATGGAATATTGGAAATAAATCCTTCCTGAGAGGGTGGTGAGGCCCTGGAATGGATTTCCCAGAAAAGCTGTGGCTGCCCCATCCCTGGAAGTGTTTAAGGCCAGGTTGGATGAGGTAATCTTGGTGAATCCTAGGGCAGCTCATTGAAAGTTCTTCTACTGCTTTGCCCAAAAATTTTATGGAATTTGGGTGCCACAATGGAGATCCTCACCACAGGAGGAGAGAATGAACACTCCATTAGCTATTCCACACCTACCACCTGCTTCTCAGCAAGAATAAAATATAACCCATGGGTTTCAATTCAGTTTATTTCCATTCCAGGTGTCTGATCCATCACAAAAAGTAAAGCTGGTTGGTTAAGTAAGAAAAAGTGAGGCTGGACTTTACTTAAGCAAGAAATCAAGGTCAATTCTCTGATGGCAGCAGGTGAATTCTGCCTCTTGGGGGAAATTCAGCCTCAAAAGTGTTTGGTTTTCCTTATTTTTAACACCTCTGTCATCTTCATGAGGGTAATGACAAGCAGCTCTAAATCCTCCTTAGTAACTCCAGGAGACCATGGAACACCTGAAAGAGATTCTGGGAGTGAGCTCAGCCTTCAACCAAGGCTCATGCAATAATGAGGATTTCCAGGTTTGGATCCATTTGTCAGGAGTCAGCAGTGCCTACTCTTGGTTTACTCTCTGGTGCAATTCTGTCAAGCCATAATTATCCAGGAGGAAAATCCATGTTGATTTATTCTATCTGTTGTAGAGTGAGGTTTTAGGAGCTGCTGATCTCTCCCTGGTGAACAGCAAGATGGAACATGAATTTATGTTTTACCTCCAAATCAAGCATCATAGCTAAAGCAAAGTGAGGAAAGACAAATCCTAGCTCTTATTCCTACACCAGGAAAAAATACACTAAGGGAAGTCCCATTTTCCAATGATTTCACCTAGAAAATCTCTTCCTGGGACACAGGGAGTGGGTATTTATTTCTCAGGTGCTCAGGCTGGATACGGAATGGTCAAAAGATAAGAAACAATTTCATTTTCCCAGGAATTATCAGGAAAATCATGGAATTCCATGTGTAAGTGGATTGAGAAGAACTAGGAGGGAGCCTTGCAACCTATTTATGATTTATTTATTTTGATATGGTATTTCCCTTCTTAATGGCTTAAACATGCCCCTGCTTCCAAATGCATTGGCTGAACAGGGATACTGGTGCCAGGAACTTGTTGTTTTTCTCTTTCAAGGAGAATTTACCTTTTATTGACTGAAAGTTTTGTAACTGCTTGACAAAAATTAGCATTCTTATCATTATCAATGGATTTATGTGCATTAAACACTTCAATCTAAAGACAGAAAGCAGCTGATCTGCATATATAAAATGTTCCGTATGGCTGGAGAAAATGAGATGTTTGTATCTGAATTTATTCTCCTGGGCTTCACCACCCAAGCAAATCTGCAGGTGGTGTTTTTTGTCTTGTTCCTTGCCCTCTACGTGGTCACTCTCTTAGGAAATCTGGGAGCCATCGTGTTGAACCAGATCGATCTGTGCCTCCGCATCCCCATGTGCTTCTTCCTGAGCCACATGTCCCTGCTGGATGTCTGCTGCTCCTCCACCATCATCCCCCGGAGCCTGAGGGATGTTTTGGTGGAGAAGAAGGTGATTTCCTTCATGAGATGCATCACCCAGCTCTTCTCCTTCGCCACCTGGGCCACCACTGAGTGCCATGTGCTGGCCACCATTGCCTACCACCACTACGTGGCCATCTGCAGGCCCCTGCTCTACTCCGTGTCCATGTCCCATGCATTGGGATGGAGGGCTGGAGGGCTCAGCTCCACTCTCCACACCATATCTCCATATTCCATGTCCTGTTCTGTCACTCCTGGGCCATCAAGCACTTGGTTTGTGACAGGCCCCTGCTGCTGGCCCTGTCCTGCTCCGACACCCGTGCCAGCGAGGCTATGGTGGCTGCCATGGTGGGGTTCAATGTGCTGAGCACCACAGCTCATCCAGGTCCATCCTGGTGTCCTCTCTGTCCGTCCTGGCTGCCGTCCTGTGGATCTGCTCGGCGGCCAGGCGGCACGAGGCCTTGTCCACCTGCGCCTCCCACCCGGCCTCCATTGCTCTGAGCCACGGCAGCTCCACCCTCACGGACCTGTGCCTGTCTCCAGCTGCTCTCTGGAGCAGGACAAGCTCATCTCCCTGGGGTATTCCACCACTGCCCCCATGCTGAGCCCGTTCCTCTACGGCCTCAGCAACGTGGACTTGAGGAACGCCGTGAGGAAAGCAAAAAGTTGGATCCTTGCTGCCATCCATGGCTCCCGGTGGGCTGAAAGGAGAGAACAGCCCCGCTGCAGTGAGGAGTGTTAGATTTAGGACCCTCTGGAAGAGCGATTGGATATCAGACCCTCAAGAAGAGAGTTTGGATATCAGACCCTCAGGATCCCAGGGCTGTAGTCCAGACTCGTCTTCCAAACCATTGGTGCCACGGTGTCCCTGCAGCAGCACCGCAGGGAAGGGAGGAGGCATCTCCTGGCATTGTGTGGAGTGGAGGAGCCGAGGGGGAACGTGGCAGAACAGAGCCGGGGTGGGAGATGAGGCACCACGCTCAGGGACACTCCCTGTGCTGCAGGACAGGAGCTGCAGAGATTCCAACCCTTCAGGGAGCTGCCCTGCCCTCCCTTGATTTTTCCCCCTTTTTGGGGGGGATGTCCATGTGGAAAGGGCTTTTATGGAAGCACTGAGCTGCTGGCCAGGGCACTTGGGCTCGTTTTGTGCCTTCTCTGGGAGAGAGGAAAAAGGGAGATGGGGGAGTCCAGGGGGTGATGGTGTAATTGTGAGTGAGGGATGAGGGGGGTCCGAAGAGCTCCTCCTAAAACCCAGGGGAGGCTATAGCCCAAAAAATGCCAGAAAATTCTTGAGGGGTTTGTGTGTAAAATACTTAAAACTACAAAGATTCTCATTTTCTATATATTGAGAAATAATCTTAATTTATATAAAAATTTATTTAAAAATAACCCCGCCTACCTGCTGTGTTATAGTCAAGATTTTAGACTGTAAGAAATTCTCAATATGGATCTGTAGGGTTTGAAAATACAAATGAAACAATAAAGGGCTCAAAGAGGTAAGACAAGATGGTCTGTATGAAGGACCTAGAAACATCTCTGTGTATGCGAAATTCTTTCTCCCTCTTCCCTCTGGAACACCCGAAATCCGGGATCTGGGATTGACTGAAATTGGGATTTTTGGACCCCTAAAACCGCTGCGCATGCGCAGTGGCCGCGGCTCCCTCAGTGCGGCCGTCTTGTGGACGCACCCGGTACTGCAGCTCCGAGCGCGCCGGGCGCTTCCCGCGGCTCCGCCGGCACCGGAACCGGGACATGGAGCTGGGCCGGGACAACGACGGGGACTGGCCGTGCAAGGCCGCGGGGCCCTCGTCCGGGGCGCTCCCGGCAGGAACCGCGGGTGCTGTGCCCGGAGCGTAGACGCGGAGCCGGGAGCGGCGATGGAGGAGCCCGGGGAGCGGCGGGGCCGGGCCGGGGGCACCGGGAGCGGCTGCGGCGGGCTCGGAGGTGAGCGGGGACAGCCCCGAGCGGGGAACGGGACAGCCCCGAACGGGGACAGCCCCGAGTGGGCGGCGGGGACAGCCCAGGAGCTGCGGGCACCGGGTAGGGAGCAAAATGAACATTTCGGGTAAAATGTGAGTTAATGTGCGGGGGAGAGAATGAATGTGTTGAGGTGAAAGTGAAGCTATGAGTAGTGAACGTGGGGAAAGTCCCAGGCGGAACAAAACGGATTGTAAAATCCATGTGTGAAATCAGAGCGGTTCCAACAGTTCCTTCCCAGTGCTCCCCAGGTGCTTTCATTGTTTGGTTTTCAGGAGGGAACACAGTTTGGGATGACCCAGCTTTGGAGAGTTCTGAGTTTTCCTTAGCTGTGCAGCGGTGTCAGGGTCTGGAGGCACTCCTGTTCCCTGGAGGAGGATGCCCTGGGAATGGCCTTACGTGGGATTTGGCTCCTGCTGAGTTCAGTCCAGGGACATCTTCCACTACTCCAGCCCCAAGTCTGGCCTTGGACACTTCCAGGGATGGAGCAGCCAGGATTTCCCTGGGTTTATGGGCACAGGAGGGAATGTCCAGCAGGAGCTGAGGCGTTTCCTTTGCTGTGCCAGCCCCAGCAGGGCTGTGAGAGGCAGAGGCTGTGGGAGCAGGAGCTTTGCCCCTGCCCCGGGGGAGTCTCTGCTGTGCCAGCCCCAGCAGAGCAAACGTTTGTGGTTTCACATCCCGATCCAAGGAGCTGCCGGGGCAGGAACGGGGATGGGCACGGAGCAGGGACGGTGCCGGGCACAGGGTGACATCCAGAGGGTGCCACCAGCCCGTCCCTGCTGCCCAGGCTGGGCTGAGCAGGCTGGTGACTGTCCCTGTGGTTGCTCTGCAGGGTGAGGAAGCCAACCCTGGCGAGGAGGAGGATGAGGAGGTGTGGGAGGATGGAGACAGCGGCCACCAAAGGCTGGGGAAGGCCCAGCTCCAGGTAGGAGATGCTGCCTTCCAAGGAACTGTCACTCCCAGCAGGAGCACCTGTGCAGGAGAGCCTTGTCCTGAGCCAGGGTTTCACTGGAGCGCGGGGCTCGAGGCGCTGAGGTGGGGCCGGGAACGGGACCCGGGCCTGGGGATTCGGGTCTGGGTCCTGCCGGAGTGTGCCGGGGGTCCCGGGCTGAGCCGCTTGTCCCTCGCCGGGCGGGCTGTGTGGCCGCCGAACCGAGGCGGGATTGGGGCTGGGATCGGGATCGCCGCGGGCGGGAAGAGCCGCTCCGGGACGGCACGGACCGAGCCCGGCGCTGCCGCTCCCGCTTGCACCGCGGGGCTGCTCCCGCTGCGGCTCCGGGCAGGTCCCGCTGCTGCCGTGGGGAGCCGGGGCTGTGCCGGTGCCGGGCCCGGCAGGAGAGCGGCGCATTCCCGGAGCAGGCGCTGGATCGCGGCTGGAAGCGGGCGCGGCGCGGGAACCCCCGAGGCCGCCGGTCCCGCTGGGTAGGAGCGGCGGTAGGAGCGGCCTCGCAGCCCCTTTCCACGGGCGTGTGAGGCCGGTCCTACCCAGCAGGACCAGCGGCACCTCTGCCCCAGCACCCCCTGAGCGGAGCAGGGCCCGCCGCCCGTCCTGAGCCCACCGCATCCCGGGGAATGAGCGGAGCTGCAGAGCCGCGGGCAGGAGGAGCTGCTCCAGCATAGGCGCTGTCCTGCTCCAGCTGCTCATTCAGCCCCTGCCAGGTGAGATCTGATGCTTTCCTCCCTCTTCCCCCGAGATCCGTGCAACTCACAGTCTCCAATGGCAAAATCTGTTAGTAAAATTCTAGTTGAAATGTTTAATCTGTGTTTCCAAATCACGGAATATTGCGAGATAGAAGGAACCCACAAGGATCATGAAGTTGAACTCTAAGTGAATGGCCTATCCAGTGACTGAACCCACAACCTTTAGTGTTTTCAGCACCCTGCTCAAAACAGCTGAACTGATCTCTGGGTCATCTGGAATTCCAGGCTGGGAACTGGAAATACCAACAAGGTAATTCCTATGCCAATGCAGCTCCTTTTATGCTAATGCTGCTTTAAACACGAGCCCTTGGAACGTCTGTGGAGCAGAGCTCCATGGCTGGCACTGGACCATGGAGCAACACAGGTGAACTGCTGTGTGACAGCACAAAACTCTTCCAATCACCCTGATTTCCTGCCCTTTCCGGGATTTCTCTAATAACTGAAGGTGCTCATGCCATGTCTCTTTCCAGGGAGAAACGAGCAAGACAAGTCCTGAGGGTTCCTTTGGTCCATGGCAGAATTGTTCTGGTGAGTGTTCACATGTGGATGTAATGCTTCATGCAGAGCTGGAAGCTGGAACTCCAGCAGGTTTTGGTGCAGTGTTCCCTCTCATCTGCTGCCAGCTGGGAAGGGAAATGGAGTCAGACATAGTCAGAAATGGAGTTAAGGGGTACCTGTTACCCAGCTGTGGCTGCCCCATCCCTGGAAATGTCCCAGGTCAGATTGGACAGGACTTAGAGCAACCTGTGATAGTGGAAAATGTCTCTGCCCCTGGCTGGGGTTGGAATGGGATGAGATTTAAGGTCCCTTCCAAGCCACCCCCTTCCATGTTTGTACTGTCACCACCCCATCAGATCCTAGTCTGGAAATGTGACACCTGGGAACAATCACACACTCCAGGTTTTGAAAGCTTGGGCCCCAAAATAACAAACTGCTGTCAGAAAAGGAAGGCCAGGAATTCTAAATTGTTCCCTGCCCCTATTTTTTTCTTGTAGTTTTCCCATTACCCCCTGCTCAACTCCACCACAGGGCTTGGAGCACTGGGAGCAGCCCTTTAGTGCCCACTTAAAGGTGTCTGAAGTGCCTGGCCCTAATCCCAGTTGGGAATGTCTTAGCTACCACCCCTTCTTCCTCTCCCTCACACCCCACCACTGACAGCTCAGATTGAATGACTGACTTACTGTGTTTGGAATTCCCTCTTTAAAAAGCAGCACTGGAATATCTGGGATACCAGGAGAGTCCCTGGAAGTCACAGGTCAGAGGCAGAGTCAGATGAACAATCCTGAACTGGTTTTCAGGGGACACATCCCCAGCCTGTGGGGACTGCAAAGCTGCTCCTTCCACTTGGGACAGCCAGGGAAAACATCCCCACCATGGATTTCTGACAGGAAAAACCTCACAGCTCCAGGATACTTGGCTCCTCCCAAATCCAGCCACCACTCCAAGGAACAAACAAGGGACAGATCACCTCAGGGTGCACACCACTATTTTTAACAATAACACCAAAACCAGGGAGAATTCACACTCACCTTTTCTCCTGGGCACAGCTGTCCAGAGCCTCACACTCCTTGCCTTCCATGCCTGCTCCTTTTCCAAGACCTCTGGAGCCAGTTCAGGGCAGGCAGTGGCCACCACAGCCCTGGCAGTGCTGCTGGGTGATCCCAGCCCCTCTCTGAGGGCTGCAGCTGCACATGTCCCTGCTCAGGGATGTGCCACTGCCACCAACTGTGGTGGCACACCACAGAGGCTTCCAACCCACAGGCAGGCACAGGCTGTGTTTGTTTAAAATCAGCCTCCTAGAGAAGAAAAGCTGTCCTTACCTCAGGATTTGCCAGGAAAAGGAGCTGTGAGATCTGCAGGTAAATGCAACACAGCTGTGCCCTCAGCTGCAGGGAAGGCTCTGTTCCAAACCCCCACAGCAAAAAGGCAGAAGGATATCAGGGCACTGCAGCAGGGCTCTCAGGATTGGGACACTCTATGGCAAAGTTCTGGCCTGGGTTTGAAGCCTCTGGAGTGTGAGAGGCAGCAGACCCAGAGTCACAGCCAGTCCCAGCTCCAGACTGG